AAAAAAGTTTAAAAATTACATATTTTCCCAAAAATGTGTATACAGTGAAATTAATTGTAAGTATACTTTCAGTTAGATATGTAAAAATTGTGAAAGTGTTCAGCTTCTGAGGGTTCAGAGACCAAGAAAACATAATGTGGTCTTTTAAAAAATAACCCTTTCAATTACTGTGTCACCTTTCAAAAGTTTGTAGATCCCTTATATAGTTCGAGTTATGTTTTGGTGTTGTATGTATCATAAAACTCACAAAGGCAGTACTGATTTTTTCTTTTTTAAAGGGTTTTTTGTAACAGAAATGCAACCCAAGAGTGGTATAATTATGCAAAATACCAGTGACTTCAAATCACTAAAATACAAAACTTTTATATGTATACATTGTTTTGTTTTTATTTGTACATGTATATGTACAACTAGTGATGAAATTAAAGAAATCTAGTTGGGTCATGTTTGAAATTCTATAATGAAAAACATTATTTAAAAAAATCTGCAGAGAGAAAACACTTGATCAGTGTTGTGAGTCAAATGATTCCTTTTTTATTTTATTTTTGGAAATATGTCAGAAGCATAAAAAAAGAACAGCATTGTTTTTGTTTTATTTTGCTCTACTTGCTATAGTATTGCAACTCAGTCTCTTACTTAATAGCTGTAGCGTAACATGAAACGCAACCCAGTGGTTCAGCAGTAAAAAGTCTTTACTGTGGTAGAGAGTGCATATAGCCCATTGTGTAGTTTTGTGCTTAACAACAATCAACCTCTGTTTTCTAGGTCCCCTGATGGGACAGCAGTAAGTCTACAGACTTCCAATGTTAAATTAGGAGTTTGATTCCTCTTGAACAGCAGATAGCCTGATGTGGCTTTGCTATAAAACACACACACACTTTTTTCTTATATTTCTGTTGACCTGACTTTTAGGTTTGTGTACAATATCTTTAGTGGGTTATCACTATAGAAATGTTTTTATATGCTGTCACTGTAATTAAAAATTGTATGCATATTTGTTATTGACATTTTTATGTTATGATTTCTACATGTCACAGTCACACCAAAGGTTAAAAAAAATACTGTAAACCAAATTTGTTTGTCCATTGTAAAAAACAAATAACATAAAGAATTCCAGTAAACAGCTAAAGATATATAGTGATTTCTTGTTGTTTTTTATTTTATCTGTTGTGATATATTGAAAAAAGTGATAAGTGATGCTTTTTATGTTATGTAGTTCATCAGAGAAAAATCAAGATTTCTTACTTTCTGAGAATAATGAACTTAACTTCAATACAACTTGTTTGATATGTGTATACAGAATTTCAGAGATGCAGTTTTTTATAGTTTATGTAATTTTTGTGTTTATACTTTAGAGGCATTTGTTTTCCAATGTAATGAAGTTTTAGCATTTGAAAAAAATTGAATATGATACTTTAACCTTTCAAAAAACTTATCACACCATAACTGATCAACAGATAGGGTAATATCATCTCTCTTGAAATTTCATCACTGTGTGGTAACTTGATGAATTTTTGTACGAGTATAGTCACACCTACGTATCTTATCAGGTTAATCTATGAAAGTATTAAAAATTGTAAAGTTTGTAATGTTATATGTTGTCTTATCTTTAATCGGTGTTTAAGTCAGTTTTTAAAAAAAAAATAAGTTAAAAGAAAGGAAGCACTGTTTATTTAACAGTTGTGTTTGTATAAACAGCCACCCTGATCATGAGTTAGGTTACATTAGCAACACATATTTGTCTTCATCTTTATTGAAGGTTTTATTTGCATATTTTATGACTTATTCTGAACTGATTTTAAACTTGTACCACTTTTTCCTATCTTTCCAAGTAGTGTATCTGGTAATTGATTCAGGATGCTTACCTGAAAGTGGATATTACATGTGAAATGCAGGGTTGCAGAATAGTTGTGCCTGAAGGATTTGGTTTGGATGCCCACCACCTTAAATTTCATTAGATTGCCAGTTTGGTGGTCATGATATTCGTTGAGTTAATTTAATTTACTGAGTATCATCATCAGTGCATCTTTTTCAAGTTTTAAGCTAGTTCTGTCTAATTTCCATGTCAACATATGTTAAAAGAATGCAAAAAAAAAAACTATCATATACATACACTTTCTCATACCAGCTTACAATCACTGGGACAGTATGTGTTGTTCTTATTCACTACTATAGAAAAACCATGAGGCAGAAGTGTATGATTTAACATCTACTGGTGACCTCTTTTAAATTAAGCTTTATTTCAATCTCATATTAAAGAACACATCAGTCTTCCAGATGGTTTGGAGGTCTGTACCCCCAAAGATTTTAGACATTTTGCAGACTTGCATTGTACATAAGATCAGTTCAGTCCACTGTTAAGTGCTTTTTTTTTCAGTTACACACACATATATATATATATCTCAAACCATTTTTAAGTAGTCAAAATAAAACAAAACTGAAGTGATAGTCCTTCAGCTGAACTTGAATATAAGTATGAAAGTAAATTTGCAGTGATTGTACCTGATCTTTTATCATTTTATGAAAATATACAGATAAACAGCATAAAAATGAAAACCTTTATTTAGATGAAATTTCAGCTTGTGGTGTTAATTTTTGTACAAGTATATCTCATTACCTCTTGTGTATGATCCCTGTGTTTTTTGGTAGTTCCTGAATACAGTTAGACATAAATGATGGCTTTTTATGTCCCTGTGTTTGTTGGTAGTTCCTGAATACGGTTAGATGTAAATGAACAATATGTAGTGTAGTTTTATAATTAGTAAGTACGCTAGTGCCTGGTGAAATAATATACACATTACTCTAACAGATAGCATATCAAAAACTACATACATTTCAGACACTTGTTAAATCATTAGTGCAGAAAATAACCAGTTATGATAGAATATTTTACAAAGAAAAACCCTTAACTTTTGTATTGTTTTTTTGTGCCAGATTAACCTGGTACTGTTTGCTGAGGATAATTCCAACTAACCAATCGAGAAAAAGTTAATCTTGTGGATCAGTTTACCATGTCAGTCTTTTATTGAAAATGAGTAAAAACAATATTGTGTAAAAGTTTGAATTGATACAGAATGTGTTCATGGTTGTACGAAGCATCCTTTTATTATTGATACTCGTTATTTTTCATAACTTGAGATTTTTCATTTCCAGTATCTGTAGCACAGAATATAGTGTTTGACTTTCCATTACTCAGTGTTCATGATATTTAAGTATGATCTTGAGTTTGAATACTATGTGAGGGCTTCTGCTTGCTTCTGTTTTAAGCTTTTCTAAAGTTGTTGTGATAATATTTAGCTTATTTGTTATTGTTTTGACTGCATACTGAATAATGCTAAGAGACTAAAGTTTAAAGAAATGGGAGGGGGAGGAAGGTTTGCACAAGTTCTGGTAAACATGCAAAATCATTGAAATTTTTATATTCAATTTTAAGGTCACTATTTTAACTATAAAACATGTTTAAAACTGATTTTCGATACTTGCATATACCTCAGAGTTAGCTAAGTGTGTCTGTTTTAATATTCAGATGTGTTAATATAAAGTTTTATTCTGCTTGTTCTTTGCCTTGTATTCAGACTTTTTAACTTTAAACCCATATTTTTACTGACTAGCATGATTATAAAAACTCTGAAAGAATGAAGCTCATAGTTGGTAAGAATGATGAATACAGTCTAGCTACAACAACTGTGATTTGTGTTTTCTTAATAATGGAAGGAGAAAAAATATGGTGTTAAGGGAAAAATCAGCCTCTTAGGAGAAGCTTAGTCTTAACATGAAAGACCCTAGATTTGGGTAAATGGATAAGACACCAACCCTAATATATATGGTAGATTAACTACTTCAGATATTCTTGATATTAACACTGAATATCATAATTTTCAAACTTTTCTTAGATGTACTCTTACTTTTTAATTTATCTTTTATAAGCATGAATTATTGCAGAATCAAACTGACTATATTTACATTTATATAGTGTTACTAAAATATCTATGTACTTTGTGTATGTTTCTACTTCAGTTATATGCACATGTGAAATGACTTAATTAATTTACTTTAATTAATTAATTAACTTATGTAAGACATTTGTTGGTGGAAGTACAATGAGTGGAAAAATTTGATATTTTCCTTTCATGGCAAGTTTAACAAAACAGTGTTACTTGCTTTAATGCATGTGGGTGTAAACTTTTAAATTTAAAACTCCCATTTTAATTGGTTAGTGATTACTGTGTTTATATTATCCATTGAAATTGTAAAGGGCATTTTACATACTCATTAAGTTCTAGTACTTTTAATAGCATTTTGTAATTTCTTCATCATGCTTTAATATTTCTATTTGATAACTATTAAGTATATTTAGTAGATTTCACTGATTACTTGTGCTTCTGGTAAATAAGATAGAAAGATAGTATGTTATAGGAATTACTTGTGCTTCTGGTAAATAAGATAGAAAGATAGTATGTTATAGGAATTACTTGTGCTTCTAGTAAATAAGATAGAAAGATAGTATGTTATAGGAATTACTTGTGCTTCTGATAAATAAGATAGTAAGATGAAGTTTTAAGTGACTGATGAATTGGATTCTGGAAACAAGAAAATTCTATCCTGAAAAGATCTTGAAAATTTAAGGAATTTTGTTTTCAGTTGGTCGAGTAAACCATCCAAATTTTTTTAAAACACTTTTGCTGTTTTTGAAAAGGTTGAGTTTAATTGAAACTCTGTTTAAGTTACTATTTTTGTCTGAGAAAAATCTGTTGCATAACAATCTGTGTTCAGGGAGGGATTGGGTGGGGGTGCCTGAGGCCCAGGCCTAGAGAGGGGCTCATAGCTTATCAGTACATTATAATAATGAAATATACTGCAGGATGTCAATGCAAGTAGGGGACCCATGGTCAAGCCACTGCCGAGGGTCCGAGTTACACTTAATCTGTCCCTGTCTGTGATTGATTTTTTTATCTTAATACATTAGAATGTTGTGAATTTTATTTCTCTTAATGTTTTAGCTGGTTCAGTGTTACATGTAGAGAGTGCTGTTACATATAAAGAAAAGAACAAGAATTTATCCAAAACACCTCCTCCCATAAGTGAGCAACAACTGTGGATATCAAGTAAGAAGTGATTTTACCTTTTATATTAATAATGTATTTTTGTTTATTACATTAGACTTAACCCAGTCATGACTCAGATCCTTAGTGATTTGACATTGTTTATATGTAAATGTGTTGTTGGTGATCCAATATTATGTGTTTGACTTTGTAAGAATTATTCATGTTATACATTGTTTCTGAACATAAGCTAGGAGCTTATTAGTGGATCTTACTTTATAGTTTTGGTCACTAGTGAGTGACCATGTTGCAATAAAAGATTTATCTTGACTAAGAAAAATTATTTCCTGAGATTAGCCGAGATTTATCCATGGCAAATAATTATACCTAATGTTATCTTTACTGAATTGTTTTTTATAGTAAGTGTACTAGAGATTTATGCTTGTAACTATAACTAATGTTATCTTTACTTAACTGTTTTCCATATTAAATGTAGCAGAGATTTTTCTTGGCAATTAACTACACCTGAGGTTAACTTTATTTAGATGTTTTCTGTAGTAAGGTCTGTATAGACATATTTATGACAAACAGTTGTATCTAAGGTTATGATCTTCATCAACTGTTTTCCATAATTTTCTCTTGTAACTTATATAAGCTAGTTAAATGTACAGCTTTTTTCATCATGATGCATGGCTTGATTCATAAATTTATCAATATGTAATTTAATATCAGTATTAAGTATTGAAATGAATTAAAGTTGATATAGTTGATTTGTTTGAAAAATTATTTAAGGTTTGCCTAAACGAACCATTGTAACACCAAATAATATATATAATTCATCATTTTAAGCAATTCAAAAGTACAAAAATATGCATATGTGGTAACCCAGTCATGATGTTAATGGTTGTGATCATTAAGGTTTCAAGTGATAAATAGTCATTTTTACCCTGATTATCAGGATTTTAAGTGAATGAATGGTCATTTACAAGCATTTAATAATGTTTTATCATTCAGTTCCAAAAATAAATTTGCTCTTTTTTGTTTTGTTTTTTCTGTGATCATGATTATGTATATATATTTTGGTACAGAAGATATTTCTATTTTTTTATGTTTATAAAACCATTAGTTTAAATATATTATTTTCATGTTTTAATAGAAATATGGAAATAATGTAATTTCCTACATTTTCTAGGAAATGACAAGATAATAAAATGCCATACTGAGACTCCAAATTCTTCGCAGCAGTGTTCAGATAGTGTTATTGAGCTTATTGAAGGTCTGTATTATAGACTAATATATTGTTATTCTCAGAATCTTACTATAAATATGATCCATTATGTGTGTATTAGCATCAATCACCCAGAATTGGCTGGCTTTATTACTGTAATTTTTTGTATGGTAACTGAAAACTGTCCAATAGTGTACATGGGTTATTTTGTTTTAGGATTTTTGCCCAAGAAGAGCCATAAAAGACCCTGAAATAGGGCCCCTTTCCACTTTTTTTTAATGGATTTTTGGCATTGAATTTAAAGATACAATACTTAATCAGTTAAATAAGTCAATGATTACTTTCCAAAAAGCAGTTTAAGCAATTAACATCTAATGAGGTCATTAGGTATTTAATAACAAAAGAAAGAACGAATGAGAAGATTATTTAACATTGCCCTTTATACAGTTTTTTTCTTCCTTTAATCTCTTGCTAGGAGGTCAGCGAAATCAACCGATCTCATAGTTTTCATATTATATCTTTTAATACACTTTATGTATCTTTACAAAATTTGGCAGACTTTTAGTAAACATTACAAATTATTTGTACACAAAAAATCAGATTTTTTACTGAAGATTTGTCTGTGAATACATATAATATTTCTATATACTATTCTAAGTGCTAAATTATTTCCACGTTAAGATTAAAAATACTTTTTTTCATCTCAAAAATCTCAAATTTTATTTATGTAATTTCTAAAACTTCCTAAATAAATTTCAAACTTTTTTTTTTTATAAAACTATATTTTATCTGTTATTTACTCTACCCTAACTTTATACAAGGTTGGTAAATTTGAATGACCTTCTAACCACCCAAAAAAAATTGAAGTACATCTAAATTACCCTTTTTTTCTTTCTAGAATGACTTCAAATAGTAATATGGAACTACATTTGTTTATCCTAAATAGCTTTACACTCATAATAGTATACCTGTATTTATACTTAAAATGTATTGTTTTATTGCCCTTTGAACCCTAACTAATTACTATTCCTGCCATTATAAGTTGTAAATCACGTGCAGCTCACATTATGGTATTCAATTACATTATGCACAAGTTACTCACAAGCATAACTTGTAAAAAAAAATTATTATATTATTATTTATTTCACCTACTCTAACCTTAAGTAACGTAAAAAGTTTTGTTATTTTACATTTTAGTTACTTTTATAATAATAAATAAATAAAGAATACACATGAGAAACAAAAAGAGTACTCATCCGGGTCTTCTTTTTATGCTGTTGGCTGTGTCAATGACACTTAACCCTACTTTTTATGCTGTTGGCTGTGTCAATGACACTTAACCCTACTTTTTATTCTGTTGGCTGTGTCAATGACACTTAACCCTACTTTTTTTATGCTGTTGGCTGTGTCAATGACACTTAACCCTACTTTTTATGCTGTTGGCTGTGTCAATGACACTTAACCCTACTTTTTTATACTAATGGTAATACTGCACTAAATACTTTTTCATGTAATTAAGTAATGCACCAAAGAACACAGAATAATAATGTGCAAAAAGGCAACTAATGTCCCATAACTATTGCAATTTTTCTGGCTTTTTAATTATGCAACAAGAGCCATTAAAACTTCATCTACGCTTGTAATTGTGTTTCTCATTGGAATCAAGCTTGAACTGAAAATGCAATTGACAATTTTCTTTACAGTAAACAACATAATATAATACATCATTTGATAGCTTAGCTTTCTATTGGTTATAAAAATATAGTATTGAATGTCAGAGAGAACTATGGGCAATTTCTGAAAGAGGGGATGTGACAGGTGGGTGTGGCAAGAGGGTTTGGATTGTTTAAATCATGGTCTGTAACCAAATAAGATTGAAGGCTATGAAAATTATGCTTTGCCTGAGCAATGATGATATTATAATAAGTAATTTACATTAAATTTTGTACTTCTTGGAAGGGTAGTAAATATATTAGAGAGGAGGGAATGCCTAGAGAGCAAATATTACAATGCTCATGCTAGTTATTGCCTTATAAAAATAAGAACTTAAAATTGATATAATATTAAAATATAGATTATTAGCTATGTTTTATTTTTGTTTTGCTATATTTATTGGTATATCATGAAAAAAAAGTTGTTGGATTAAATTTTTAATGTAACTCACTAAAACCTCTTGACATGTGCAGAAAAAGATGTCTGTGGAGAAAGGATTAACAGGTACCCTCAGCTAGTGACTATAAAATGCATTTTTTTTTACTTATTCAGCTATGATTTTAATAGATTTATGTGAGTATTAAAAGAAATTAATTGTTAAACAATTTCCTCTAACTTATAATGTGGCATGAATAACTGTATTAATGCAGAATTCTCACAAACCAGATACATGAGGGAAGTTAATGGAATATGGCTATTGGTCAGAAAAAAAAATTCCATGTTATAGAATATAAAATATAGAAAAATGATATGGAAGTGAAATTCAAAACTTAGAATGTGAAAACATTTATAATCACAATAAAGAATGAAACATCAGAGGTATTCTCTACTAAGTTATCCTGAAAATCCAAGTATTTTGCAAATTACAACTTAGGATAAGAGTATTTACTAGTGCTAAACATCAGTTGCACAAAAAAAGTTTTTATACATCTCCAAGAAAGTACATTTTCAAATTTCGATCATGGAAAATTTTGTATAATGTTGCAAAAATGTATGTAATAATTTGTGTGGGAACTCTATTTGTTAGGTGTCAATAAACATTTTTTAATATACTAAATACCAAATACCTGTGAAATATGAAAATTTTCTATCGCATCTAGAATAATAAATCTTACGTTTAAAAAGAGAATTTAGAAACTAAACTTTATCATCATTGCATCAGCTATCTGTAGCTTGAAGTCCCCTTTCATGGTGTCAGTTTTTGTACAAGTATATCTCATTACTTCTTGTGTATGCAGCTTGTGATGTCAATTTTTGTACAAGTATAATAAAAAGCCATCATTTATGTCTAACTGTATTCAGGAACTACCAACAAACACAGGGACATAAAAAGGCGTCATTTATGTCTAACTGTATTCAGGAACTACCAAAAAACACAGGGATATAAAAAGCCATCATTTATGTCTAACTGTATTCAGGAACTACCAACAAACACAGGGACATAAAAAGCCATCATTTATGTCTAACTGTATTCAGGAACTACCAACAAACACAGGGACATAAAAAGCCATCATT